TATCTCGATAGAACTATTTGAGACAATGTAAAACACACACATATATTTATATATAATGAGAGAGGAGGCACGGTGGAGTAATGGATAGCGGCTTGGATTGAGGAATCGGAGAGCTGAGTTTAAATTCCAGTCGAATCTATTACATTCACTTACGTGCTAATACCCTTGGGAAAGGTGTGAATCCTCTTCTCGTAAGTAGCAGGACAGACTGGATTCTATAGGAGAAGGAAAACTCTGAATTCAAAATCTGCGGAGGGTCGTTTGGGGACCAGTTCTCTGTAATCGGCCCTTCAAAAAGTGTGGATGGTCCTGCACGAAACCTTCACCACTATAATCAAATCTCATACATGCGGGTGGGGACCGCTTGTAAATTACAAATTCCCATGAAACTCCAATAATGGAGCCGGCTCAAGAACAAGAGGATGGATAGATAGATAGATAGATAGATAGATAGATATCCATGTCTTCTTGCCTTTCCTTCTTTCCCTTTTATGGGTCATTCTCTTTGTTCTAGCTTTGCTCTCTTTCGTGTTGTCTATTCTTTCACATTTTATTTTATATTTCCTGTTTTCTTTTTCTCTGTCGATAAATTTAATTACTTGCTTTCTCAGTTTTATCTCACCTCTGAATTCTTTCTACAGACAACTTTTTTTTTAAATTGTAAAACACAGAATCAAAGTCTGGGTTCATGTTAAATTAAGATTTTTAATGCTTATTGCTTGAACAAATGAAGGGTGTGCCAATAACTTGGACCGATTTTAAAAGTGAATTAAGTTTAAGCGTCTAATGATTTTCTTTTTCTTTCAGATTTAACAGCTAAAGTCTTAATCTTTTCATGGTTGAAATTGCCAATCAATCAATGTGTTAAAGTTATCGAAGCCTATTATGAAAATGGGCGTTCAAACAAAAATGCATTTCCCGCACTTCGCGTTTTTTGGTCAACATAATCGACCAACTGAGAGAGCAATTAGAAACGATTTAACGTTGTTGTTGAGTTTCAATTCCTGCGCGCGATGACGAATATAGGTGTCTCGATTTTCGGCCAGATTCTCGTGCATCGCAGAAATGTCTTCAGCTGAACGACGTAAACGAGCACACAATGGAGTTTTCATATCTGCTACCGACCCAGTTCGTTTGAATTTGCGAACAATGTTTCCAATTGCACTCTTGAAACTTTAACACGTTGTTTGATTTTTAATCTTTCCATGGTTGAAATTGGCAAAGACTTAAGTTAAATCTGAAAGAAAAAATCATACGTTTAAACTTAATTCACATTTAAAATCTGTCCAAGTTATTGGAACACCCTTTATAACTTTTCTAAAGTTATAAAAGGAAGTAAACGCAAATGTCTCGATATTAACTCTTTGGTAAAACGTTCTATTTGACTACGAGTTCGTTCACTTGCCGTCATCAAACGTCTTAACTGGCAATAAAGGCTCACATTTAATATGTATGGCTTTTTTTTTCACACACAAGTAACGACAGTTTGTCTATATCTCCGAGATGAGGTATTATGATTTACATTATTCGGACTGTTATCCTCATCTCCCTTGCCATATTCACAAAGAAAAAAAAACAACTTGGAGAGTTGCTTTAAAGGGAAATAACCGAGACACCCGGAAGAAGCATAACACGTGAAACTAGAACAATCTACCCCGATGGACGAAATAAAGGGTTCGGTTCATAATTTCAATCACCTGAAGAAGGCCGAGGCGCACAACGGTCGAAACGTTGTGAATATGGCAATGAAGATGAAAATTTTCTTTGTATGTGCCATGCTCTTTCAGGACGTAGGCGATCATGGCTCTCTACCTTCCTCTATCCTTTGCAGCTTTCAACATGTTCCTTCCCCCCTGATTCCTCCCCCAGACCACGTTCTGTCATCCAATTGCTTAAGTCCGCCAGGTATGTCATCTTTGTTTTCCCTTGTCTCTCTTTCCTTCTATTTGACACATTAGTATCAGATTCTCCAGGCCCTCCTTCCTCATTATGTGTCTCAGAAACTTCAACTACCTCTTCCTGATATCAAGTATAAGCCTCCTCCTTGTTTGCAACCTCTCTAAGACCTCATTGTTGCACACAGGCTCGGTCCATGATATCCTTAGCATCCTTCTGTAGAACCAAATCTGCGTTGCCTTGAGTCTCTTTCCCTTGTCTCTCTTTCCATCTATTCGACCCGTGAGTATCTGATTCTCCATGCCCTCCTTCCTCATTATATGTCCCAGAAACTGTAACTGCATCTTCCTGATATTAAGTATAAGCCTTGTTTTCATCCTCTCTAAGACCTCATCGTTGCTCACACGCTCGGTCCATAATATTCTTCCATCCTTGGTAAGACGATAAACTACGTCCAACAGCAAGGCCTCTGATCAGGAGGTTTTGGGGAGCGTGGAACCCCCTCTTATTTGCTGGTGTTCCTACTATGAGCAAATAGTTAACTCTCAAAGTGGGGTCAAAAGACCATGTAAATGTAAAAATAGGTTTTAATACCAGAAATAATTTGTAAAATTATTTATTACCAGCAATAAATTTTTGAAAAAGAAATGTGTATTACCAGCAATAAATTTTTGAAAAAGAAATGTGTATTACCAGCTATACATTTTTTTGCAGAAAAAATATTACCAGAAGTAAAAAAATTTGTCGGCATTAAATAAACCATTGAGGTTGATATGCCGTAAAACGAAGCAAACCAAACGAGAATATTCTTAGCATCCTTTTGTAGAATCACATCTCTATCACCTCGAGTCTCTTTTAATAGTCCGAATAATGTAAATAACTAACGAAAGATTGGTTAAAAATCAAATAGTATTGAATGGATGCATTCAAATACAGTCGTACAAACATACACTGACGTGCAAAAGGTTATGGTATAGCAGTCTGTAAATGTAATGGTAGATGATGTATGGACCTTAGATGTCAACAAGTTACCTTTCAGATTTGTAGTCTTTTCATAATTTTTCTGGGCGTGTTCACGTAGGACGGGTTGCTTCCGTTATTCCGCTATTTTTTCGTCATTTTTTTACAAGGCCAAAGAGTAACTCGAGGTAGAGGGTTACAGAATATGATTCACGGGATGTGTGAGTGATGATAACGGTTACTTCTAGACTCGAACTGGTTAAGATTGTAACGATCGGGGACGTATCCTCTTGGGAGTCGTTTCCACAAAACACTTAAACAATTGACCCGTGACAACTAGATTCCACTCCTTCGTGAATATTTGAACCCATGTATAAACTCTATGTATCCCACTCACGATGGGTTATTTCAACAGAAGAAATGCGCTGTCATCGGATCCAAGTTGACCCGAATTGGTGAGGTCTGTTCGTGCGCAAGATCCTGCACCTAAAAATATCATAGAGCTTTGGATAGCTTATCGAGAGTTTATGGTTTAACATCTTTTCGAAATGTCTTTCGTCGATTAACTTATTTCTTTTTATTTCATAGCAACTGATGCTGTTTGATGTATGGTCCTTCTATTATCAAACTTGGTTCTCTTTTAATATCGAAAGTAAACCATTTTATTATTACTGCCATATAGGAGATTGGATACGATATGGCACTTCGGCCATGTTTTTCTTTGTTTCTAAGAATATTTTCTTATCTCCTTAATCTTAAAATGATTAACCTCTTAATTTCTGGAAGGCATGTTTCGTTATACCTTAGAATTTCTGCATCACAATAGACTGTGATCTTATAACTTTTGGCACGTCAGTGTGCGGGGGTGTACGTGATAGGCGCATCTGAATAGATCTGTCGTGTCTTATTACAATACCCATCAAATCCAAAGAATCTGCAATGTTATTGGCCCTGACCCGGCATCTCGGCTTCCGTCACTCTCCCACCGCCGTAACGTAGCTTCCCTCTGCCTTTTCTATAAATGTTTTCATGGTGATTGTTTTGATAAGCTTACTTCTTTGGTACCTCGACTTTACGAATTTAAGTTGTACCAAATTGTTTCATTTTTTTTATTGCTGAAACTTCTAAATGTAAGTTCTATGTTAATAGTTACTTGTCTCGAATTTCTCGCTTGTAGAAATGTTTTTTCGGCTTCTTGCTTTCTACGCTCTTCTAAAATGTAAATGCACAATCAATTTTCATCTGTTGTTTCCTTGAATCCTTGTCTTTTAACTCTCTTCAGCGCTTTCTCAGTTTTTTTTGGGGGGGGGATTTCACACTGAGTAACCCTTACGTCTTAGCGGCTTTCACCTTACTTGAGGTGAAATGATAAAAAAGATGAAATTTTATCTTAATATTTATTAGACATATCTTACTTCTGCATGAAAGCAAATAGTGAAAAATGAATAAAAACAGTGGGGCTATGTTGTGTCAGTTTTCCAAGTTTACTTTAAAATCGGCTTTCGAAATACAGGCGTTTGACTCTAACCTCCTGTCTAGAGCGAAAATACTTAAAATTTCATCAGAGCTACGACACAAATAATGAAATTACTAAAAGTGGAAATGGGAGTTTGAAACGCTGACCTCTGCCGCTCATGTAAAACATCCAGTTCCCCCAGACCAACCCAGCAATCTTCTTACCCAGCAAGCTTATTTATACCATGATCTGTTTCATTTCCTATGAGACAAAAGATCAATACTTCTGGTGTTTGTTTTGTCGATAAAAAGATGAGATTGAAAGTGAATGCTGTTCTGTTAACCCTTTGAGCACTGACCACCGATTTACCGGTAGAAGAGAAAAATGACGTAATCCCCAACCACCGGTTGAACAGTGATAGAGAAAAATGACTTGATGCCCAGTTACCGGTTAAACGGTGGGTAAACACTTGTAACTATTTTTATATCTACCGGGAAACATTACATACCAATTAATTTGTGAATTTCGACTCGGGGGGAATCAAGCAAAAGGCTTAAAATTGTTCCGGAACGCAGGGCTCGAAGGGTTAATATGAACTATGAAGCAGTCTCCTTAGGTTGTTTTTTTTTGGGGGAGGGGGTAGCTTATGAAACGTTACTGTAGAGAATAGGGGACTAAGTGCGAAGCAATGAAATTTGTTTTCTTTCTCCTGGAATGTGCGGACAGCAAAGAAAACAAATAGCGGAGATTCAACCATCTTGAAGATTAGAATGTCTTCAATGTAAACTAAAATCACGCAAAGTGGGGCCTCAGATTTAATATATCTACAGCCATCAGTGAATTAGAACCATTCTGATTGCATGAAAGATATTGCTATTTCGTGTTACATAATTATGCTATTCTATCCGAAAAGTATCCAGCCGTTCATATCGCATATAAGTGAATGTAACGGATTTGACTGGAATTCGAACTCGGCTCTCCGATTCTGCAATCCGCGCCGCTATCCATTACTCCACTATACTTCCTCCTTACCAGCAATACATTTCTGAAAAATAAATATTTTCTCCTCAGAATCGATCCCACAAATCAACCATTCGCACTTACATGGAGTATTGCTGCCATATATGGTCTGGAGCCCTTTCTGTTTACCTCGGGGTTCTTGATAAGCTCCAGAGGCGGATATGCAATATAATTGGCCCTGATCTGGCATCTCGTCTGCAGTCGCTCTCTCACAGACGTGCCGTCGCCTCTCTCTGTCTTTTTTTACAAATACTTCCATGGTAATTGCTCCGATGAGCTGCTTCCGCTGGTTCCCAGACTTCGCGAATTCAAGCGCCCTACGAGGCTGGCATCCCGCTCCCACCCTTTTACTGTTGAAACTGTTAAATGTAGCCGTCTCTTCTACTCCAATAACTTCATATCTCGCACCTTTCGCCCGTGGAACTCCCTTCCCTATTCCTGTTTCTCTGATAGCTATAATCTCCAACTATTCAAATGTAATGTCAATCGACATCTCCAGTTGCCTTGATTTATCCACTACCCTTCTCCTCATCCTTTCCTCTATCATTCCTATCTGCTCTCGCTCCAAATCCTCTGTAACCCCTTGCGTGCTAGTGGCTTCCCGCCTTGCTAGGGATGAAATGCTTAAAAAAATATATTTAAAAAAATACGTCAATGAAAACTGGTTTCTTACAAAGAATACATATTCTATTCATACAAATCTATTGTAAAAATCTTACCGTCATGGAGGCTGATATGCCGTAAAACAAGATAAACCAAACGCAATCCTTAAAATTCTGACTTCCCTCCTCCATTAAGATTAAGGAGAAACCGGCAAAACAGCTGATGATGGTCCCGAATCATTACTTTGATTGCTATTTTGAAAAATGGAATCCACACTGAAATGAGTGTTAGTCTCAAAAGAATTAATGTAAGGCTGAGTAAAACATTATTTGCTCGAAGTGGGGTATTTATGTTGTTATTAAATGGTTGGCTCATTTCCATACAGGTCTCGTAATTGCAATTACTTGTATAACATCATTATTCCTATAATTATCATAATTTAACTAATTGTGTTGTTTTATTTTCCAGATAATGACGGAGATCTCATTCACTTCACCTCGAACAGTGAATTAGCGGAAGCAATCAAGTCTACGGCAGATGGAGTTTTTAAATTGTACGCACAAGGTATGCACCGCCCGCCTCATTACGAAATGCACATCCAGTACACGCCCATAATGAAAATTATGCATTTTACATCACATGAGACGTATTTACATAAGTTATGCCTCATTTCAACAGAATATATCCATATAAATGTCGTAAGTAAAAGTCAAACCTTTCCGTACAGAAAGGATTAGTCTCATATCGAGTGTAGAAAAAAAAAACTGCAAAAAAGGTACCTTGTATGTCGTCAACTAATATATATATATATATATATATATATATATATATATATATAGAGAGAAGAGACACACACTTCAAACGTTTTCATGTTGCCATTATACAGTGCATCTTAAATCTATCGGCTTGTGTATTCGAGAATATGGACTCTATTGCTGGGATTAGCCGTTTGAAAAATGCCGGATTAAAAATATATCCATTAATGTTTTTTTTTTTTTGTTTTTTTTAGTAATTGCTTTGTTTATGTTTCGGATAGGAAACTGATCATATAAATATCTCTGTGGAAAAGTGCTTTCCTTAAAAAAAATAAAATTAAAAAAAAAAAAAAAACGAAAGTAGAGCCTTGCTGTATTTTGACACTCTTCGTAGCCGAGTAGAAAAGCACGCCGGATCAAACGGTGGTTTCTCCTACAAAGGGGGGCGCAGGTTCGATCCCAGTCGAAAAGTACATTTTCCGCATTGAGATTTCTCGACTACACAGGTCGGTAGACTTTAAACAATAAGTATTAAGTAAAAATGAAATGGGGGGGGGCAGAGGTATCCACTAAATAATGTTTGAAGTAATAAGTATGTTTGATTAAAAATTATTCATTAATTCTTTATACACACTCACGCATATATATATATATATATATATATATATATATATATATATGGTTTAAGGTTTTCTGATTGATTATTATATATCTAACGTAAAAAAAAATGGCTGCTTTTTTACGTATGGATCGTCACTTTTGTATTGGGTCAGTGTGATACCTGTTCCCTGCTGATAGCTTAGTATTCGGTGGTTAATTTTACTGTCCTGTTCAAGCAGCAGATCTCTAACATATGCATATGTTATATGATTGCTTATCTCCTGGTCCATTCGTTATAGGAGCCGGTATCGGTTGTTACGTTTTAGTCACCGGCACCATTCGTTCAAATCCAAGTTTTCAAGGCTAACTAGGTGTCCGGCCTGAAAAATTTGCGAGAAACGTTATTTATAAATGATCTTTCTCCGATTTGGCCGTTGTGCCGTACTGATCTAGACCTAGTAAACGGATACCTCGTCGAAACATAATAGTAAATGAGCCGATATGACAAACTATTCATCTTGTGAGGTAGTTCGAGTTACTCTTAGAACTAACGCTTTATTTAAAAAAATCCTATAAGCAAAAAATACTATTTCAACTTCCCTCCTGGTTACAAATATACAAACGTTAGCTTAATCATCAATCAGTCAAACCATTTAATAATTATCAAAGTAAATTTATATATTTCCTGTCCTATCAGTAATGGGAAGGGAGGTAAATCAATTGAACTTAGGGAAGCAATCACTCATTAATTTACTTAGTCGTTCTAATACTCTATACAAGTAAAATATTTATATCCATTCAGACTTAGTTCACAAGTAAAATGAACTGTAATTGATCAGTTCCTTTACTCTGAGATTGCAGTCATATCTGTTAAAGCCTTTTCACGTAAGGCACTCAGATACATTTGTCTATTAAGTAATCGTCTTCCTTCAACTTTCTTCTTGAAGTAAGCATTCTAGTTGCCGTATTTTTATTCCTGTTGCTAACCTTTTTTTTCTTTTCTTTTTCTTTCTTACGAGTGATATTTCTATTTCACTGTTATAGTAAACACATGAAATGTTTAACCTGGAAAGATATTGATCAAAAAGCGATTTATATAACACCAGGAGTAATTAATGAATCACAGATACCATTGAACGTTCAAAAAAATATAAATAGCACAGATTAATTAAACGGTTCATCTCTGCTTTATTAAATCTCAATATATTGTTTCAAGACTTTTTTTTTCACTGCATCTCACTATTAAAACTTTCTAACAATTGACATCATTTTTGACGGCACGGGTAAACTTGTTTTTATATATATATATATATATATATATATATCAAAGTATATAATTGGTATACACGGAATGAATTCCAATAACCAACAATTACTATTCTTAAAAGAGTGCTCAATACAAAGTAGAGCAGATATAATTATTTTATAAAAAAAAAAATTTATAACATAAGTATGTTATAAAATCACTACAAAATAGCCATTTTGTTTCAACACACTCTGTGTCTTATCAAGTGATGGTGTTGAAAAGAAAATAAATGGTTTTAAAAGTTTCAGATGAATTAACGATCCTACACTAGGGGGAGCATTGTTACAAAAGCTAGAATAACCAATCAAAAAACGAAGTACAGAAAGATTCAAAAAGCTTGACAACAAAATCCTGCTATTATAGCTATTTAGATCTTTAAATACGTGTAATATTAAAAATAATTTTACTAACTAATAATTATAAATTTATATGATAAAATTTAATATTAAAATTAAAAACTGGCAATTTTTAAAAATCCAAATTTAATCACTATTAAGTTTAAAAACTACAAAATTATTGAGAAAAGAAAAAAATATATATGTTTATTCAATTCATTTCTTCATTGAAATTACGTCTGACAAGACAAAAAGCTACAATTCGTCCGGTCATCTGATAATACATGTATATATTTTTTTCTTTTCCGTTTTTATTTTAAAGTTTGTGAATATGGTCTTAAACTCACGCGTGACACAACAAAAACACAATCAGATTATAATACATACGCATCCAGACATAATTAGATACATACACACACACACACACACACACACACACACACAAATATACACACACACTTAAAAAAAAAAAAAAAGGAAGAGGTGGGGGGAATACATGAACAACTCCACAGCCCTTTACGAAAAAAGGAGACGTGGAAACTAACACTTATACACACACACAGTTAAATGTGAATACACTCTACATACACATAGACACCGATATGTACACAAACATACATCCACAATGTCATAGACATTGAGAAATCACAACCAGTAAATATTTCAGACTTAAATAAATGCTAACCACTTATTGAATTATAACTTAAGGGAGCAAATATATAAAGATAAAATGTTTAAAATAATATTATTTAATATATTAAAACGAAAACTCTAAAACAATAAATATCAATAAAAATATATATATATTATTAATCATATAAGTTGATAATAGTTTCATTATATATTTGGCAAAGAAAAACAGGATAAAGAAATCCACAAATATATACATATATATATATATATACGGCAGCAAAAAACAAATTAACACACATAAAAAAAAAAAAAAAAATATATATATATATATATATATTCATACATACATATACGTACAGAAATACACACGAATAAATATATAAACATAAACATATACGTACATATACATATCTATGATAACAAGTACATATGTACGTACATATACATATAAACCTAAATACACACACATATATACACACATAGACTTTTATGCACACATACTTAGATATATAAAAAACAGTCATGATATACCAAAGTTTCCATACCTACACATACACACAAACTCATACATAATAGGTTCCAACACACACACCTATATATATATTCATACACAAACATACATAAATATATATACACACATATCTACAAATAAACATATATATATATCCATAAATATATCTACCTGCAATAACAACCACCCATATATACATGCATACATAAAAATACAACAACTTTCAACCAAATACATATATAAACGAACTAACATATAGATACATAAATATACCTTCAAACACCAACACACAGCAATATACATATAGTCTAACATACAAATATATAAACACATTCATACAAACAGAAATATACTTAAATATAAATACACATACACAATAAAATAGGACATACAGATATATATACACATATATATATATATGCACACACGCATATATATATACACACATACATACACACATACACATACATATATATACAAATATATTGTGGCACAAAGCTGAAAACAAGGGGCATCCCGTGAGGAACGAACTCATTACTCAGTCGCACCCAATCTAGTGAACCATGCTGGCTAACCATTATACTGTCGTGATTTAATCATATACATACCTGTACATACTCATACACATACACACACACACATACATACATATACACACATACACATATATATGCATATATACATATATACATATATATATACATCAACCATATACACACATACACACATATATATATATATATATATATATATATATATATATATATATATATATATATATAAACATATATATATATATATATCTACATACATACATATATACATACATACACACACAAAAATACATACATATATACACACACCCATACACACATACATATATAGGCACACACATACACATATACAGTAATAATTATTAACCTTTTCTCTCATAATCTACCTTACTTTCCCACATAATATATATATATATATATACACACACACTCACATATATATACATACATACATACCCCACACATACACCCTCACATGTAAAAAAAAAAAAAACATAAATACATTTATACACCAACCTACACATTCCTCAGTGCAAATACTCTAACCAACACATAAATAAATATATATATATTTACACCAACACTGATAACACTATGCAGGTAAACAATACACACTTATATCGTAAGTATGACCATTATGCAATAAAAATACTAATCTATTAAAAAATACAGCGACATATCATTATCATTTAAAGTATACGACCCCTACACTAAGTTAAATTTATAACGGTGTTTACAATTTACTGTCAGTTCATATCTTTGATTTAAGAGATCAGCCTTGTTTTTAAATCTAATAATTTCAAATTTTCATTAAGGCATAGGTAACATGGGGTATATAGGGAGTTACAAGTACGAGCTTTCGTAACCAAACTCCATTTAATCGTAGGTGTTTTGTTCTTATCTTTTAGATTCCAAAAATACTTGGATAATGAAGTCATGTACCTATATTCACTGTGATTAAAGGATTGCATATGCCCCCCGCCAGCGTTCCTTGAATGTTTTCATAGTAGAACCAATGTAAAACTTCTTTATATTTGGATTTTCAATTGTTGAAATAGTACCAAGATAGACTACAGAAGTAATCCCACAGTTATTTTGTAGTGGACAATTATTCAGTTCCTACAATTACATAAGTTGTTATTTGTATTCTTATAGTTAGTATTGCAGTTAGTAACCTGTTGATTAGTCAAGCCTTTTGAATTCCTATACTTGTTAAAGACTATGTTGTTATGTTTTTTAATTATCTGCTCTAGGTTATCAGCACAACTATAGCTTAATTTAAGGGTATTAGGATTAAATATTTTACTAAGTGGGTTAGTTTCAGGGTTGGGGATATATATATACTTCGAAATACCGTTCTCGCCGCCGTTTCTAATATGGCGTGTGTTCAACCCAAGGACCTCTAATACTTATTCTTACAAGCATGCCACCCCCAGCCATTTGTGAGACTAAAGCAACACAATTTACCTACAATGCTTATCTCTGTTTGACTTTGTGAAGTATTAAATTAAGTTTAGCGAATACCAATGATAGTGAGGATAGAAAAACTTATTTCATTTCAAAGGAAAAATAGGCGCCAATCAGTCGGGTTTAATCCACGATTGGCAATGAAATGCGATGTGAAATGGAAGTTCGTGAAAATGTTTTTACCTTTCGCCATTAAGTATCGATACGAAGCCATACTGGAAAAAATAAAATAAAGTGTGCGCGTAACAGAGACAGACAGGCAAGCAGGCAGGCAGACAATTTTTGGGTTTGCCAAGTCCCGCCATTATCTCAATCGGTCGTTCCCGGCCAAATGCATACGTACAGAGATTTTTTTTTTTTCTTATCAAAACCAGCGACAATCCCAATTCTGAATTAACTAAACTGGCGACAAATTATCTGCAAGATTAAAAAAAACATGCTTCACTCCAGTCTTTCTTTCTTTTCTTTCTTTTTTTTTTTTTTTTTTTTAATTCAAAGACAAAATTAAAAAAAAAAAAAACATACGCAGTCTTTACGATCGTATGACGTAACTGATAAGATGGTAGATTGTGATGATATTTTATTATTATTTATTTGCCGAGTTCAAGTTCCAGCCTATTTCCTTCGCATTAATTCCCAGGCTTGTGAAATTGATAGTGGCTCACGCGTAAATACCCTGGGAAAGGTATGAACCTATTTCCTCACCCCAGCTATGGATTAAATAGTATGGTTTGTATGTAGAAAAATAATTTATTCTCCAAAAAGGTTTGTAATGCAATACTGACCCGCAAAAACAAAAAAATATTATTCTTACAATCCAAAATATGTTTTGGATTTTAAATAAACTATAAAGGGTTGATAAACCGTAAAAAAGAACAGTATGTGGCAGAGTTCGCATTCAGACCATGAGACCCGGGTTCGAATCTCACCATTGTCGATTTGTCATGATTGGAGGGGGTCATCTTTTGGAAAGTTCCTGAAAACCATAACAAGGCTTGTGTGTTAAATAGCTGTGCTTAGCGGGTTGATCACGCTAGTTAACACGCTTGTTCCCAGAAACTGTAACTAAGGTCCGTTCAGCGTAGTCAGTTCAGGTGTTCAATAAGACAAACTTGATGATCGCAAAAGCTTGAAACCTAGGGTTACAAACTCATACAACTGATTATATTAGCTCTATAATCAGTGCACTACATTTTTCTGTGTACGTTTTTTTTATTATTATTGTATATCTGCTTTTGCACATACATACACGTGTGTGTGTATATATATATATATATATATATATATATATATATATATATATATATATATATATATATATACATTCAAATCGAAGAGACCGTTATTCAAAGTAAAAAACATTTTCATTGAAGAAATTTTTCTTTCAAGATTAACATACCTTATTCAACGTAATGTATTTCTCAGTATGCATGGTGTCCAAAAGAAATTCACATAATTTAAAATTGGAATGTAACTACATGTCCCTGATTAACGGAATCGAGTAGGCTTTATGTTGAACAATAAAAGATTTATTTATCAATATTTGAACAATATATTCAAAGGGATGTAGATTTTATAATCGATTTCAAAAAGCTTCACAACTGTTCAATATGCGAACCACCTGTCACACGACGTGTGGTAGCACCTGTTAGGGTATGAGCAATAGCTAACCGCCAAAATGGAATCAAAATACTATGGAAGTATAAAAATAGATTTTTTATAGTCAAAATACCAACAGTACCTTTTTGAAGAAAAAATATTACCAGAAATACATTTTGGGGAAAAAATATTAACAGCAATACATTTGACTCTTGACAAAAATCCCATTTAAAAAAAATACGTCAATGAAACCTGATCTACAAAGTGGTTTCTTACAAAGAATACGTATTCTTTTCATACGAAACTATCCAAAAATCTTGTCGGCATTAAATAACCCATTGAGGTTGATATGCTCTAAAACAGAATAAACCCTAAATCCTGTGATACGACACACGTCAATCGGTAGTCCAGTTCCTGCCAAACACGCTGTAGCATGTCTTGCGTAATATTCTCCAGCGACACAGTGATTCTCTGCTCAAGTTTTTCTAGATTTTTAGGAAGACGGGAGATATAGACATGTCCTTTCACATAGCCCCATAGGAAAAAAAAACACACAGTTTTTACATATTTTGTGCGAGAATTGTCTATATTATTAAACTACAAAATGATGTCAATTTTTTTTTATATTTAATTTTATTTTATTGGTTACTATTAATTCTCGATCTCTGGTTATTAAGCATAAATGCAAAAAGAAAAGCTTGCCTTTAAAAATGTTACCTTCTTTGTTATATTAGATTATCTAAGCAGCAATTATTTGTTCATACAAGTTCTGGCTAGGTCTGTTATATATTTAATAATTTTATCTTTTTTTTTTTTTTTTTTTTTTGCACATCAGTTTCCGTATTTTGCTGTTTAAAGTATAAACAAGCAAGTGTACAGTTCGTGTTGTCTTTTGTTAAGAAGCCGAGTTTTCAACTGGCTTCAAGAATGTGAAGAATTAAATGAAATTCCAAGTCCATTGTAATTTGTATCTTTGGTGTGATTTTGAGATGTTAATGTTTGTCACGCGAGCATGGTGTTTTTTTTTGTTTTTTTTAAGTTAAATTCTGGTATTGCGTGACCTTAACCTAGTGGCCTGTTTCAGCAAACCAGAAATTCTCTGTCACATTCATTTTTTTTTTCTTTTTGTTAACTACAATAACTCGTTTTTCTTTGAATGAGTGAGCTGTCTGGATGTCAGAATTCCAGAGTATTTTATTTCGTTATTTTCAAGTGAATCTTGTGCTTTGTATTCATATAATTTGTTTAAAATCGTTTTCAAAACTCGGTGATTGAAACACCGGTTCCCGTACGATCACCGAAGTTAAGCAACGTTGAGCTTGGTCAGTACCTAGATGGAAAGAAAAGAGGTGGATTAATACATTTTCCAAGAGTGAAATGAATATAACGAACCCAAAGAGAATTTGAACTCGGATCTCCGATTAACAATTCCCAGCAATTATCCATGAAACGATCTAACTAGATATTGAGCAAGTTGATCGACTTCTCGATTCTTCATAGAGTGCAATATTAATTTCGTTGCTGTTCCAACTTAACATCTTTAAAAAGAACTTTTAATGTTTTGGATTTGTGGCATTCAATTTTATACGCGTTTTGTTTTCGTTTTGTCTTAACCTCGGTTCCTCTTGTCGCTGTTATTATGAATATTTTCTTTGACAGAGAAACCATTGTTCAAAGACAGTGCTGAACTACATTTGGGTGTCGTGTGCAGTACTTGCAAGAAACCTATACAGGGATCCCGTTACAAGTGTCTAGCATGCCATGACTACGATCTGTGCCATAGCTGTGAGCTGATTGGAACACACCTCGAGCATGCAATGATCAAAATACCAACGCCTAGCACTCCGTGGGTGGCACAAATAATGGCAAGCTATCTGTTTATATTTCTTTCTTTTATTTTTCTTTTATTAAAGTTTTGTTTGTTTTGGTTTACCTTTCTCTGTTGTAATTATTTTTCTCTTCTTGCCTTTCCTTCTTTTCTTTTTCTCATTTCTTTCTTTGCTTTCGTTCTTTTTGCTTTGCTTTGCTTTTCCAGTCTGTCTTCCTTCACTGACCTGTCTTTTTTTTCTCCACAATCTATTTCTGAGTTACTGTATCTACTTGTATATAAGTCCAGATATTAAGACCAATTTTTTACACCACATATTGACGGTCGAACAAGACATAGATTTCAATTTCATTAGGTTCAAATATTCTGCGCACTATAGGGCACAATAAATGTAACTGTTACCCTAACACTTGAAGAAATATAACATATATGGGAGAATTCCAATGTTACGCGTAAACTATACTTAATTGCATATTTCACTGCTAGGTGTCTCTATTCAGAACTTGTTCTCGTCACTGAACGCTACAGAGCGCTTTTCTCTTTCATTACAAATTCTCGTGTAGCAGGTGATATCAAATAAAGCCAAAAAATAATTTCTTACTAGTGAAAGCATTAGCAATTTCACAATTCATGTTTGTAATTTGAAAATAAATTACAACGTACTCTGTGCGATTACGTATGTCGAATTATTACATTGGAAATCAACATCCCGCCATGACGCTATTCATCTGCAGACATTTGGGAAGGCAAGGCGAAAGTCTCAGTGTCAGATAGATATAAGTATCATCTACCCTTTTCTAAGATTAACTGTTGAAGAAATTGATGTTGAAATGCTGTGCAGCGCCTTCAGCATGTGAAGCTTACCCACTAACGCCAAGGTTTATAGGACAACATTTCGTTTTGTTTTCAGTCGAAAGCGATCAGGAAATATTGAATAATTTATGGTGAAATTCCTGCCGGAAATCAAAATAATTGTCGGAACCGAAGAAAAAATGAAGATAACCTAATTGGATGAAAGATTGCTGCCCAAATACACTTCTTATACACGCGCGTACGTTATAAATTCACGACTCGGCTCACTTCACAAAATTCGACCAAATAACCAAACATTATTTTTCCTCTACTCTGTGTGTGTGTGTGTGTGTGAGCGTGTTATACACAAATAATTACGGTTTAAAGTTGTATTTACAGGGCTCCAAAGATATGTTTCAATTCTTTTTATCGGGAAAGTTTTAGAAAAAAAAAAAAAAACATCAAAAACGTTTTCTACAATTCTTAACCGATAAGTCAATTTAATATCCAGTCTCAAGGCCCAGTGTAACTGTTCATGATTTCTTTTAGAAAAAAACGTAAATAATGACTTTTTCTTTTAAAACATTTCACCTCAAACAAGGCAATAAAGCTACTAGGATACAAGGGGTTACTGAGTGTTAGAGAATATGAGAAAAGTTGACTGGTAAGCAAGAAGCAGGAAGAGAGTTCTACAAATGGGAAGTGCGAGAAATTAAACTGTTAGGATAAAACTTACGGTTATATCTAGCCATTTCAAATGTAAATTGATGAGAATTTGCCGCAAATCTAGTACTGAACTTAAATTCATAAAGTCTAAGTACCATAGAGGAAAGCTCATCAGAAAAATTATCATGAAAGTATTTATAGAAAAGGCACGGCGAAGATACATTAAGGCGGTGGGAAAAGGGCTGAAGCCGAGTCGCCAAATCAGGAGCAGATAATATTGTTGGTTCTTCTTGGATTTTATTAAGGAGTTCAAGGTTTATTAGAAAAGGGCACCAGACCATGTGTGGCATCAATATTGTAAGCATGGACGAATGATACTTATATATATTTAAGATA